AAAGACAAAAGAAAGCCCAACAGCCGAGAACAAAATTTAAATAATTATCAAGAATTTGTTCTTTAATTAATGTGAAGCTATTTTAAATTCTAATGCCATGTCTATAACATGAAGATATAACTAGAGTAACTTAAGAAATGAGAGTTGAATATACTATCATGATCCTAACTATGAAAAAATTAAACTTATGCATAGAAAAGTGACAAAAAGAAATATGTCTAAATGTGAAAATGGTTTTCTCTGATTAGTAGGCCTAGGATTTTTTATTCTCCTCTCTTTGTACTTCACTGCATTTTCAAATTGTCTTATAATGGTCATTTATAACTATGTGTTGGAGGGAATATACATTTTTTTCTCAAAGTTGAAAGTAGGAATTAAGTGGGATAAATCCACCACTGCAATTAAGTGGACTCTGATTCATAGTGGCCCAACGTAGGGTTTGGGAGGTTATAAACCCTTTAGGGAGCAGATAGCCTCATCTTTATTGTGCAGAGAAGCTGGTGGGTTTGAACTACTGACCTTGTAGTTAACAGTTCCAATGCTTATATAACAGAGCCTCCATGGCTCCTAAATGGGATAACTAATCATGGTATAATGAACACATTCAGATAAGAACCTAAGTATCACAATATTAAGTTATAACATTGTTCACTCAATATCATCGTGAATCTCCAAATACATATATATAGATGTATACATAGATATGCTTATATTAGTGTTAGCTATGAAATACTTTCACTTACTTTGATACTGACCTCAGAATGATGGCACTGGTTTACACACAGGGTGACGGCAAAGGGATGGAAGCTTATTTTCATTCCCAGAATCTAATATTTATTGATTAGGGTCATTACCGTGACTGGGACAGAGCATAAAGTTTGGTTCTAAGTTTCTCAGCAACCAAAGCAAGGGCAGTTACATAACTCTAATTACTAAAAAAAAGGAAACAGCTCAGAACCTCAAGAGACGCAGGATTTTTACCAGAATAAAACAAGTACATTTTTTTAAAACGTTGCTGGGTATTATGCAGAGGAGTTGAATGAACTAAAGGACCATGCTCACAGCCAATTGAGAAGTCGATTCTACATGGCTTTATTTAATAGAGACTTTTACAAAAAGTCAAGGACTTAAATTCAGAAGCCAACCCAAAGGCATCCAAAAGGATACAGGTGATGTGAATCAAGACTGTTTTTAACATTTTTGGATTTTTTTCCCTTTGTCTCATTTTTTGGTATGCTTTTCCTTTGATCCTTCCCCTCTCTTCCCTTCTAAAATTCCTTTGGAGATGTGTAAAGGAAGTAGTTAACAATATTGATAGTTATATCAGATCCCATAGCTTACATCTTTCTTTCTCTATATACTGAACATATAGGAATTGACCCTGGACATAATGCTTCTTCTCTCTGAGCCTTTGTTGTTTCATCTGTAAAATAGGGTTAGTAAATGCCTGCCTCATGGGGTTTGATTGAACATTGAATTTGTGAATATACACAAAGGCCTGGAAACAGTGCATAGTTGATGAAGCAAAATGATCATCATAATTATTCAGTTATTCATTTGAACATGATTTATTCATTAAGTGCCTACTCTGGGCCAAGAAATGTACTACATGCTTCGTGCTTAAAAATAAATGAGATATTCAGAAAGTCACATCGAATGGTAATGGCAGTGTGTTCCGTCTAGACTAAGATTCTCTACTTTTCCTCTAGCTTCTATAATTCACTGTGGTGGCCACACAGAATTCACAGACATGCTCACAATCACAGGGTTTATTACGATGTTAACAGGCTATAATGCAGGTGAGAAATGCTCAAGAAACATATGTTCAGGAAAGACATGTTACAAAGCTTTTTAAGGGCTGCTAATAGATGCTCAAAGGACATGCCACTCTACAGAAAACCTCATCATTAAGACATTCAACTCAAGCTCCGTGGGCCAGTGAATGCAGCTCCCTCTGAAGAGTCCAGAAGCACCCCATTCCAGTAATCCTCAACCCAAAGCCACTCAGCAACACCTTCAGGAGTCAGTAAGACCAGCTTCCTCTTTTAAGTGCCAAGAGGCACCTAACTTCACAAGCCAGCCTCCTATCAAAAAGCACTGAGCTTTCTTTGCTCTGTGGGCTGGGAAATCCAACATCACGTCATGCGCTGGCTCCTGGTTCTGCGGCTGGTCCTCTGTTGTCACAGTTGTCTTCTGGATCAAGGTTTATTGTTTTGGGATCTTGGAGTCCAGAGTAAGCTGTCTAAATTAATATTCCCTATTTTGCATCTCTGGGTTCTAATATCCATTGCAATTTCTACATAGAACTCATAGATATAATTCATGATTAAAATGTTAATCATGGAAGTTAACAAGTTATCATGTCACTGAGAAATGTTCAGCATCAAATTGTTTACCAGGACATGTTGCAAAGTTTGTTAAGTCTGCTAATAAACATTCAAAGGTCATCCCACTCTGCTGTAAGCCTCAGCCCAAAGGCATTCCGTTTAACAAATGAATCTCCCTGAATTATTTACCCAGAGACACCCCACTCCAGTAAGCCTCAACCCAAAGGCATTCAGCTCCGCTTCCATGTGTCTGAAAGTCTAACTTTCCTAATTAAGTGCCTAGTGGCACCCCACTCCAGAAGTCAGCCTCTTGCAGAAAAGCACTCAACTTGCTCTATGGGCTGGGAAGTCCACTACTCTTTTCCATGTGCAGGCTCCTGGTTCTGTGCTGTTCTTTGGACTTTTCTGAATCCAGGAAGTTTTACTCTGCAAGGGATTTTGGGTCTAGAAGACATGCTCCATTCCTGATTCTTTCTGGAAATTAGAATCCTACCCCTGCTTCTCAGAGAGATCATTTAACACACAGGGAATTCTAGTCTCAATTACTCACAGGTGAATCCTATCCATATCTTCCCCTCACCTTCTTACCAGACCTATGCAAGAAAAGGTATTTTGGTGGGAATTAGAAATTTTGGCTTAGAAAAGTCACATTAAATGAATCATTGCCCCTGCAGACACACATTTAAACAGATCATTCTAAAGTAAGTAATTATAGTTGATTATAGAAGAAGACACCTGACCTAGCTTGGTCGTGAGAAGACAGAAAGTTGATGAACACTTCTTAAAGGAGCTGGTACCCAAGGCCTTCTTAATAAGAGTAAACACAAAAGGCTTTCCTTGGCATCCATCACCTTTCCATACACTTGCATGTCTTAGTTCATTTAGCCCATCCCCAAACCCTAGATCATACTGGTATTATTCCTAGTTTAACAAGGAAGCTGAGGCATGGAGAAATTAAAAATCTTGCCCAAGGGCATATAGTTAGAAAGTGACAGAGCAGTGCATCCACATTCCTAGCCACTATAAGTGTCTTCCCCTTAAAAGATGTCTGGCAGTTACCGGGCAACAGGCATCAGAAAATTCACAACAAACAGTAAACAAACAAATAAAAATGCATTGGTAAGAATGGAGGGGGGTTGGAGCGGAGACCCAAAGCCCATCGATGGACAATGGAACACCCTCCACAAAAGGGTCGCAAGTAGGGGATGAGTCGATCAAGGTGCAGTAGAGCACTAATGGGTCACCCAATATACCTCTGATCCCTTGAGGCCTCCTCTGCCCCTGCTATCATGACCCCAGTGCCACTTCCCAATCCAGACTAGACGGGAGCATGTACATGGGTATAGGCAAGAGATACAACTCACAACACCTGGAACCCAGGAACAGGAATGGGACTAGAGATACCAAAATGGTAGGGGGAAGGCGGGGAGAGGTGGGGAGGGAGGGGGCCACCGAACGCAATGAATGACACATAGCCACACACCCCCATCCAGGGGGAAGAACAACAGAAACCAGAGGGGAAAGGAGACAGCAGTCGGTGTGAGATTTGAAAATAGTTAACAATCTAGTAAGGGGCCATAAGGGTTGGGGGTGGGAGGAGGAGGGAGGGAAAACAAGAGGAACAGATCCCAAGGGCTAAATGGAAAGTAAATATCTAGAAAAGAATGATGGGATATATGTACTAATATGTTGGATACAACTGATGTATGGTTTGTAACGAGAGGTGTAAGAGCCCTCAATAAAATGATGTGTTTAAAAAGAGAAGGGTGTGTCACAAGACATAGATAAAGGAAACAACTTGATATCGAGGAAGAAGCAAGCACTGCTCAGCAGCAAGTGCATGCAGGGATGCTGAGAGTGAAGGTGGAAGGGGTGGTGAGGTAAAGGAAAGCCCCAACTACTATGCTAAAGAGCTTGGGCTTCATCTTGTTCGCGACGCACACGATTACACGTGAGTGGATACATTCCGAATAGGAAAGACATGTGCTCTTTGGCTTTGGACAGCTCATACTTTTAATTGTTGTACGCGATCAAGTGGATTCCAACTCACAGTAGCTCCAGGTGACAGAGTAGAATTGTTTCATAGAGCTGATGAAGCTACAATCTTTACAGAAATAGATCTCCAGATCTTTCTTCCTCAAAACCATCCTAACTGCCAATATTTTAATAACCTAGCCCCTTGGAAATTTACTAATATCTTCAAACTTTCATGTCACTGCGCAGGGATGATCAGGGGGTAAATGAAGTTTAATTACAGGGTAAGCAGTGCTGTAGGCATGCGGGAAGAAGTGCACAGTAGGTGGTAAGCCCTTAAACTACCATTATTCTGGGTGAGCACACAGAACCAGCTGAGTGGGGACCGAAGGTACCCAGGAGCCCTAGGGAAAATGGGTGCCCAATGAATAAGGTGACCAGACATCCTGCTTTGGGCGGGACAGTCCCGATTTTTGGCGTTTTAAAAAATTCCCGATATTTGGAAAGAATGCACAGCAAGCTAGGGAATGGGCTATTTGGTCCATAGAGACCAAATTTTTAAATCAAGAACACCCCCTCCCCCCCTCAGTGAATGGTGTCCCGCTTTAAATCTGGTCACCTTACCAATGAAGTGCCCAGGAGCCCCAAGCTACACAGCGTTGAGACCTACCCAAGGCAGGTAAAAATATCATGTAGCTAACCCTCCTTTTCTTGGGTTGTGCAACTATCCAATGAACGGACAGTGAGGGTAGTACTGCTAATGCCGAAGCCACACACTCACATCAGTTAAAGCTCTGCTTTATCCTGATGCAATTTATGGAAAAAAGGAAAAAGCTGTTTTCCATTAAAAAAATATGTAACAAAAAAAAATCTTGAAAATCCCTTGGGAAGTTTCTGACATATCACCTCCACAAGTTCAACCTTTTACCATTGGAACGGCTCACTGCTGACGCTGTTGGTGTAGATTTATCCATCTCTGTTGAATTATCCGTGTGTTGTCTCTTTTTCCTCTTGTCTATTTGTGTTGAAGGAGTGTCATTTTGTTTACTTAAATTGAGTGAGCATGTAATTCACGTCTTCCATAAATCAGCCAAAGGTACAGGCAGGCTTGGGGGTAGGGGGTGGCATGTATAAGCTTTGCCAATTATCTCAGGAAATAATAGCCTGAGATTAATTATCTATCATTAGTTGAGTTGAAACAAAATGGTCATATACAATATTTTAGATTTTTAAGTGAATTACAACAAAGGGAGCTCTGTTGACACTGTGAGTTAGGTTTTAACTGACTAGCCACAAGTTCAATGGTTCAAACCTGCAAATTCTCTGCAGGAGAAAAATGAAGGTGTCTCCCTCCACAATGATTTACAATTATGTATATGTCTATAGACACACATATATATGCTATGAGTCAGAATCAACTAGATGACAGGGAGTTTGTTTATTTGCATGTTTCCCCCCCCAAAAAAAATCACTTAATTTGGATTCTAAGGAACCCCACGGATCGCCTTACTGTGTAGATGACAAAGTAGACTTGAAAAGGGAGAAATGCTTTACTGAAAGTAATTTCAGGATGAAAACTGTGGCCCCTACTATGAAATTAATGTCTTCCCTTCCCCTCCCCTCTTGTTTCTTTACAGGACCTCACACTGGAATAGGCTTCTCACCGAAAGTCTTGAGAAAGAACTTACAGGAATGATTCCTGAAGGATCGAGACCTAATGAATAAGGGAGGGGAAAGAGCCAGGGATAACAGAAGGACCCAATGGACTGAGAGTCACTACAGAAGCAAAAGCTTTATCTGGAAGAACTAAAATGACTTTAAACTGAAGGAGCAAGCTCATCAAATCGCTAGAAATGACCATCACACTATTTCGTATCATAACACTAGACTAAAGAAAACAACCAAGACAAGACCTGTACAAGGAGAAGGCATCGCAAGACGACTATGATAAATGGAAGCAAGTGGGTTGGTTGATGCAGAGATAGAAAATGTTCTATCTCACCCTATATGTCCAAGGGGAGTCCTGAAAACAGATGGATTCTTTGGAACATTTGAATGCCTGAAAAATGGATCAGATCTTCATACTAAGAATAGAGATGAGAAATGCAGTTTGACAAGATTATTGTAGGAAGAAACAAAGTTCTGAAACAACCCTTACACACTATTTGCAATGAGGTTTACTTTTGAATTATAGAAAGTTTAGAATATATTTAAAGCTTCCCCAGGATGATAAAATGAACAACGTTTTCTCAAGATAAATAAAATAATAATTACACATGTTGGGCAACTACTTCTTGCATCGATCCTCTCCTTGAAGCAGGGATCAGTGTCACTCATCTGGCCACTCTGTCATGTGGGTTGACAAGGGCCAAAACCATGATTCTAAACAAAGTCTAAAGCTTTCAAATGTCCCTTCCCTGTAACACTGGAACACAGACAAGTGATTTCCGAGGAAGGAAAACCGTTGATATAAGAAGCTGTGAGAACAAATGTGTCAGGAATGAAAACAAATACAAGCAAAATCTCTTATGTGAAAGCAGAGCAAGAGGGGAATGCCACAAAAATAAACGAAAAAGTTATCTGCCGTTTGAAGTACAAGCAGGATTTCTCAGACTCACGAGTTTTTGTCCTAATACCCTGAGGATAATTGATGTATTAGGGTTAGTGCCATAACCATGCACACCGAAATTCTAATAACTTACAAAAACATGTAATACTCACACATTTCCCATATTGGTGGCTGTACGTTAGCTCATGTATCTCCATGGTATAAGTTTTCTGATTCCAGGATCCTGGTGAAGAAGTACTGTCTTGTTGGGAAGATAGTTTTCAGGGTAGAGAAAAGAACAGGAGAGGTGCAGAAAGCATATGCTTCTTAAAACTTCTGCTTGGATGTTGCCCAAACCAAACCAAAGCCATTACTGTCTAGTCAGTCCCCATTCAATGACCTTACATGACTGAACAGAACTACCCCCAGCGGGTTTCCAAGGCTGTTGATCTCTACAGAAGGTAATTTGCATATCTTGCTACCATGGAGCACCTGGTAGATTTGCACAAACGCTAGTTTTCTGGTTAGTAGGCAAGCACTTAAACCACTGTGTCACACGAGATTTTCAGATCTCACCTAAGATAAGCCAATTCACATTAATTGGTCAAAATACACGATCACACGAATTTCAGTATCAGTGGGATTTGTATGCTCTCTTTGCCACAGAAAGGAAAATGGCTGAGAAGGTGTTCTATTTTTACAGGGAGGAGAGAAATGAAGTCGACAGCACAGTGCATTCTATTACAATCAATCCACAAAGTCACAACTTCACTTCCTACCCACGAGCAAAATGGACTCAATTATCCATGGAAGAAACTCAAAACGTCTTACCCAATCACAACTTTGGGATGAATCCTAGGATGTCTTCATCTATAACACCATCCACAACTTGTCTGTCAGTTTGTCATCTTCGGCTGGGTTTGTGTGTTGCTGTGATGCTAGAAGCTGTATCGCAGGTATTTCAAAGGCCAGCAGGCTCACCCAAAGTGCACAGTGTTCAGCAGAGCTTCCAGACTGTGGACAGACAAGGAAGAAGGACTCTGCTCCCCACTTCAGGGGAACTAGCCCTTGAAAACCTTATGCATAACTTCAAAATATTGTCAGAGGCTGAAGGCCTAATGGATGGAAATAGAAATATCACATGAGCATTGATTGCGAAACCATACAAGACAAAATGCTTGACAACTTCATTTATCATGGTATTACCAACTGGTAAATGTGCAGCATTTTAGAGTATGGAAAAGCAAGGACGTTTCTTTGAGGACTAAGCTGCGCCTGACCCAACCCATGGTGTTTCCCATTACCTCACATGCATGTGAAAGTTGATCATTAACTAAGAAAAAACAAAGAAGAATCAATGCATTTGAGTTGTGGTGAATATTTGAATTGTGCATTCTGAATTGTAGAGAAGAATATTGAAAGTAGCATGGGTTCATCAAAGGATAAACACTCAGTCTTAGAAGAAACAAGGCCAGAGTGATCCTTAGAGGTATGGATGGAGGAAAGTAGTCTTACATTTCTTGGACCTGTCAGGAGAGACCAGTCCCTGGAGAAGGACATCATGTGTGGTAAAGTAGAGGGTCAGCAAAAAAAAGAGGAAGACCCTAAACAAGATTTATTTGGCACAGTAGCTGCAACAATGGATTCAGGCAAAGGAGACATGGTGAGGATGGCACAAGACCAGACAGTGTTTCATTCTGTTGTGCATGAGGTCGGTACAGGTTGGAATAGGCTCGATAGCATCTAGCAAAACCAACAGCATAGCATGCATGGATATGTCTCCAATTGATTCAGAGGGACCCAATGAATTGAGATTGAGCTACAAACATGAGCTACAGAAAGCAAGGTGTGTTTTATTATGGCCGTTAAGTGCAGTCAAGTTGGTTCTGACTCGTAGTCAGAACCTGCACCATCCTCACAAGTGCTCCTGCAAACTGAGCCCATGTTTGCAGCCATTTTGTCAGTTCATGGCATTTTAAGGACCTTACAATTTTGTTTGTTTGTTTGTTTCCCTAACCATTTATTTAACCAAATAGGAATTCTTTCTCCAGGTGCTTCTCTCCCGATAACAGGTCCATAATAAACGAGTAAGTCTTGCCATCCTAGATTTTAAGGCACATTCTGCCTCTACTTCTTCTGCGACAGATTTGTTCGTTCTTCTGGGGTCCATGATAGATATAATATTCTTTGCTGACATCATAATCCTAAGGCATCAAGTCTCCTATAGACTTCCTTATACATGATAACGTGTTCACGTGCTTAAGAGGCGATTGAAAATACCATGATTTGGGTCAGGCTCATCTTAGCCTTCAAGGTGACAGCTTCATTCTTTAACACTGGAAAGAGGTCTTTTGCAAGGAATCTGCCCGATATGTGTTTGCTTTCCGGAATGATGCTTTTATTAGCATTCCTATGTCCAGCAGACTGACTGAACTCACCTTGTTCTTATCTTGTCAAAAGCAGCTAATTACAACGGAAGGATATCAAGACATTTTGACTTTCAGCATCTGTACTAGAAATCATTAACTCATTAGACCCCTAGCTTTCCTGGCACATTATGATATTTTAATACATTTTTCTACCCTTCAATAACGATTACTTGGCTATATTGCCCAATCCTAAATTCAACGCCACACATTTTAGGGGACTGCTACTATTGTCATAGAAAAACCCAACTTCTGGGACATATTGCTTTATCAGTCAGCTTTGCTGAAATAAGGAACAGCTTCAAAATCCTGTGGCTCACTGCAATGCAATCTATTTCTAGCTCAGGCTACATCTCAGTGACTATGGGCCCATTAGTGAAATTATACTACATATGTCTTCTAACTCCAGGATTTAGGATCAAATAGGTAATGAAAATATGAAATGTCCTTGAAATCTTCTGTTTGAGCCTAGAATAAATAATTATTGCTCATTTTGCAGTGCTAAAACACAAAATGAGGCCAAATTCAACCTCAGAGAAGTCGAAGCCAATGCTACTCTTACAAGGACCAAAAGAGGACCACAGGTCACATCATATACATGTATAAAATAATACAAATTGTTTGTAGTTCTTTGTCATCTACATTTTCCCATGTGAACACAAGCTCCATGAGGGTAGGACCTAGAGCCATAACCCTATTAAGATGAGCACCTGGTAGATACTCAATAAAATCTTTTAACTGAGTGAATATGTACATGAACCATGCATATGGAGAGTGTTCTGTAATGGACATGCCCTGATTCCTTTTATACATACATAGATGCTGTGCTCATCTCATATTACATGGAGAT